GGGGAAAACATATGAAAAGTATTTTGATGTTCAGATAACAGGACAGTACTGAGATGGAAATATGAGATTATGTTGAGAAATCCAGACCTGTGCTATAGAAAAAGTTATTTTTCTAATTCATAATGTTTTGCCATTTTTTGCCAAAAATCATTGAATGACAATGAAAAAGTTACTGTATTATATGTTGGCAAGATTTTAGAAAGGCTACGTTACTCACAGCAGTGGCCTAAAGAAGGCAGGGATAGCTTTTTGGCTATTGGTTATTACTGAGCATAACCTGAGAAACCAAGCATTAGCCAAAATGGAAAATTGTTTCGAAAGGTAGAGCAGATGGACGGATAGATTGATAAATGTATAGATGTATGGATAGATTGATGGATGGATGGATGGATGGATGCATAGGTCTATGTATGTATGGTTAGATTATAGATGGATGGATAGATGGGTAGATCTATGTATGTATGTATGTTAGGATAGATTAAGAGATGGATGGATGGATGGATAGATCTATGTACGAATGGATGGATGCATAGTCTATGTATGTTAGATTGACAGATAGATGGATGAATGGAAAGATAGATCTATGTATGTTTGTATGGAAAGGTTGACAGTTAGATGGATGTATGGACAGATAGATGGATATATCTATGTATGGATGGATAGATTAACAGATAGATGAATGGATGGATAGATCAATGTATGTACTGTATATATATATATGGATAGATGGATGGATAATGGGCATGGATGGATGGATAATGGATATAGATGGATTGATGATGGATGGATGTATAATGGATATAGATGTATATGAATGGATAATGTATATAGATGGATCGATGGTAGACATAGATTGATATGGATGGATGGATGTGGATGGATGGATGGATGGATGGATAGATGGATGGTAGACATAGATTGGGATGGATGGATGGATGGATGGATGGATGGATAATGGACATGGATGGGACGATGGTGGGTAGATAGATATTATAGGTGGATGGATATAGATGGATTGATGAATAGATGGATTGATGGATATTGGACATGGATGGGCCGATGGTAGGTGGATGGATATAGATGGATTAATGGATGGATGAATATGGATGGATTGATTGATTGATGGATGGATATAGATAAATGGATTGATGAATAGAGAGATATAAATGTATATTGATTGATTGTGGATGGATATAGATGGAGATAGTTTGATTGATAGATGGATATAGATGGAGATTGATTGATTGATAGATGGATATAGATGGAGATTGTTTGATTGATAGATGTATATAGATGTATATAGATTGATTGATAGATGGATATAGATGGAAATTGATTGATAGATGGATATAGATGGAAATTGATTGATTGATAGATGGATATAGATGGAGATTGTTTGATTGATTGATGGATATAGATGGAGATTGTTTGATTGATTGATGGATATAGATGGAAATTGAAAGATGGATATAGATGGATGGATTAATGCAGAAACATTTATTTTTACAGTGTTTGTTATAAATTAAATCGGTGATATTTGAAAATAGAAAATGTCCTTAAATGTTCCAAAAAAAAATAACAAAAAAAAATTATAATTTTTTAAAATTGCCAATCCACATAATCTAAAAATAATAATAAAGAAATATGTAAACCAAAAATTAGTTGGGCTAAATATTTTTTTTCTGTTTTCCTTGCCTTGTTTCATCTCAGTGCTTTTGCTCCACCGCTCCCTCCTCTTACCAGCGCCGCACTGCATCAACACTCACACTTTCCTGACGCTTGGTTAATGATCTCTTATACCAGTGGATGTTTTCTCTGACAGGTTTAAATCACTTGTGTTTTGAAATTCCCCCCCAAAAAACACGTTAACAGTTTAATATCACATTAGTATCAATAATAATGATGTGATGAGTTAAAAGACTTTGTCGAGTGACATGATATAGTCTAATTTCAAATGCATATTTGCCAAACTGTGTGATTTCTGGGCTATTGAGTGAATCCGGCTTGGTATGGGTTCTTCGCTTCATGCTGTATCAATAACAACACTTCTGTCAAACGGTGCTGTTGATCCACAGGCATGAACTAACCCCCAACTCTAAATAACACTAATGGCCAAACAGCAGCTTGATATGCCTCTCTGAAAGAGTTCAGTGAATTCCACTTAAACTTGTCTGAAGAACTTGATTTGATGGGCCTCAATCATAGACCTTTAAATAACGATGATTCAATTCAGTGCCATTCAGAACCGAAGAGTTCCTGTTTATTACTGAATTGTAATTCATTCGTATGCAAGTCTTCATGTAAAGCCCTTCAAATAAAGTATCCCTCCAGGATAAAGTGTAAAAAATATTAATTATTATCCATACAGTACAATACTGCATGAAATCTGACTGGGCTGAGTAAAGGCCAACTATGATCGCAGTTTCCATTGAACTCTATTGGTAACTTACGACCATAGTTGGGTTTGGTAAACGCACCCCAGGTTTGATGTGTTTGACCTTTGACCCTACAGACGGATGAGGTGTTCCTAGAGGCACAGATCCAGAACATCACCACGTCCCCGATGTTCATGGAGAAAGTGTCTCTGGAACCTTCTATGATGTACAACGTGACCGAGCTCAACGCCGTGTCCTCTGCGGATGAGAGGTAAGACTCGCTGTCACTGTTGAGTTCCTTCTGTGCATGTGCCAGTCAAACTGCCAGTATAAAGCACAGAAGTTGCTTTCAAACCGAGCAGCTTTCTGTTGGTCAACATGGGGAATTCATGCGACCAAAATCCCGTGTTCACTTCCTATTGAAATGACAAACAGCTGTAAATGGTACAGCTAGACATTATTGAACCTATACGCAACTTTTTCTTGGATTTCTGCAGCGTGTCGACGTTTGGGAAGATGTCGTATCTGCAGCCCTTGGACACGAGGCAGTATTTGTACTGTTTGAAGCCCAAGCCAGAGTTTGCGGAGAAGGCCGGGGTCATCAAGGGGGTGACGGTAATCGGCAAACTAGACATTGTGTGGAAAACCAACCTCGGGGAGAAAGGACGTCTACAGACCAGCCAGCTACAGAGAATGGTACATCAGATTAGAAAGCAAAAGAATCGCTCAGTCGCTTTAGTTAATCCAATGGACTACAACACAAATCAGTAAGACATTGTCCGTATGTTACACAGAACGCAGCTCATTCAGGCCTTCTCTTCTAGGCTCCTGGTTACGGTGATGTTAGGCTTTCCCTCGAGTTCATCCCGGACACGGTCAACCTAGAGGAGCCCTTCGACATCACCTGTAAAATCACCAACTGCAGGTCAGAGCACGGCTGAGAGCCTGTCAGGTTACAGATCAACTCTGTGGGGTTTAACCGCTGGTGTTCCTGTTGTCAGTGAGAGGACCATGGATCTGCTTCTGGAGATGTGCAACACGCGCTCCGTCCACTGGTGTGGGGTGTCCGGCAGACAGTTGGGTAAACTCAGCCCCAGCGCCTCGCTGTCCATTCCTCTCAGGCTCCTGTCGTCCGTTCAGGGCTTACAGGTACACTCCAGCAGAGCCCGTTATTGAAGTTTCAATGGGCTTTTACTTTCTTTTGATTTTCGACTTTGCAGTGTCCGGGAGAGTTTTCTACTTGAATTCAAATTCAGTTTAGCGATTATTTAATTATTTGGCACGTAGAAGCAAGGGGCCAATCATAATAGTAATTTACAGATTACTGTCTCAACCCTCTGGTGCTCTTCGCATGTCGGTCAAAAATGACAGATTTTTTTTGGCAATGAAATGAATGTACTATATATTAGTTTGATAATGTTTTTTATTTTTATATTTTGTATTTGTAGGGGATTTTTTTTAATATAAAATAATATTTGTGCTGTAGTTACAATCCATTATAAAATTTTTGAGCATAGACCTGAAAATTACATTTCGAACTAAAACTCGTATATCTTGAATGTTTTCAGGCCATTACACACTGAGTCCGAAATTCGCGTGCGAAATTTCCGCACGTTAAAAAATAAATACGACCTCACATTATGTAAATCACACTGCCTCCGAAACTTTCGTCCGTCATGAAAAAAATCGAATCGGGTTCGATTTTCTGCGTTTTTGCACATCCATAGCAAGCAGTTTGAATGCTGTTTTGAAAATTCAGAGCCACCGAATCACGAATACGAAAAAACGCATATGAAAATTTCGGACTCTGTGTGCAATGGCCTTTTGAGCGCAGAATTATGTTGGATTTATTTTCAAAGACGACACTTAAAGTGAAAAACGTTTAAAAAAGTGAAATAAAAAAAAACAACAACAGAATTTTACGTGTATTGCTATGAAAAATGGACAAAAATACTATTTTTAATTTTGATACGAAATAGATATTTTCTAAATCACTTTAAGAAAATCAAATTCAAATGTCTAAACAAGTTGTGCTCCAAATTTGACATTTGATAACTCAAAAAAAAGAGCTTTCTGTTAGATTTTGTGTCTGCAGAACCAAAATGACAAGTTTCGTAAAAAAAATTAAATGAAAAAAAAAAAAACGGAAATGAAGCAAAAATGAAATGAATTATGATACAGGGTCCATGAAACATTTTTGTAATTTTTGTTTTTGTTTTAGAGCATATCAGGACTGAGGCTAACGGATACTTTCCTGAAAAGAACGTACGAATATGATGACATCGCACAGGTCTGTGTGGTGTGCCCTTACACGAGTCCAGAGAGTTGAACCCTTGTGGCATTTTGCACTGTCTGTGTCAATGGACCAACTTCCCATCTGTTCTTCATCTATTAATATAACACCTTTTGCTCTTTACCTTTAAGGTTGTTGTTTTAAAATGTCATTTTTAAAGCCCTTAATAATGATTTTAACTGTCAATGTAAATAAAATGTAAATTAAAAATCAGCTTATGCACTGACTTAACACATTTATAAGGTTTGCTATACAAAAGTGTGTTGTTCTGGTGGGTGATGAACAAATATCATAATGGTTTGCCGATATAAAAGACGCCAATATCGACAGAATGATTTCAAGACACATTTATTAACATTGTTTTTAGACAAAACATTATACCGCTCTGTGTTTTATTAGCATATTACATAGGCTTCAATCACTCATCTGACTGTAAATATCAGATTATGGAGCATGCAAAAGAAAATTGCAATGTTGCAAAAAAAAATTGCAAAAATTGATTATGAAAATGCTTATTTAGCAACATTTTGTTGTCATTACCAGTGAATAAAATGATTAAACGAACAGATCCGGTGAAGCAGCTGATATAGTGGTTACCACAAACAAATGTCTCTTGTTCCTAAAACGAACAGAATATGTTGTACAAAATAATAAGAATGCGTTAAAGGGTTAGTTCACCCTAAAATGACAACCGTCGCCATTTATTCATCCGCATGTCATTCCAAACATGTCATATTAGCTGTGAGCTATTTACAATGCCTTGGATGTTGATAACATGGATGTTGATAACATGGCCCCACATTTTGTTAATAGGCATAAGCATATGATCAATCATTCGTTTAGTAAAATAAAGTCAACTCTGATGTGTCCTATTACCAGCTACATTCATAAAGAGGACTGAAACATTATCTACACAGACACACACAAAGAAACCTAAGAGAATGTTCTGTGTTTAAGGTGATTTTAGATGTGTTTTCTCCTCTCCCCCCCCCACGTCTCCGTATAAAGTGCCATTCCCTCCATCTCGGGTTCCACTCCAGTAGAAGAATGAATTTAACGATTGCACTCACGTCTCTTTTTCCGCCCGCCATTCTCTGATTCTTGATCCTGTATAGACCATGTTTATAGTTTTCATTATTCTGCAGGATCCACGAGTGCGTGAACAGAAAAGTCCAGTACATGGAGTATATTTACAGCAGTTTAAAGGGACACTATGCCGCTTTTTGCAGCTTCAGAGTTCAGAGACTGAGAGACTAAAAAAAAAGGAAAATAAACTATACAACTAGTACCGATTAGAACCCAGAACCTCTGATACGCTTGACAAACGTTCTGCCACTAGACCATTAAAGTTCGTGGGGATAATTATTGGACCTGTGTATTTAATCAAGTGAAAATTCTCACAACTAACAACATATATTAGATCTCATTAAACGACAAATTAAACACAATGTACTATTGTATACTATGTAACACGTTGAGCGTGAGTGGTATTTACGACAGGAACGTTAAATACAAGTACTCCACAGCAACTCTAGGGGTCGCTGTTTGACAAAAACGGGATTCCTGCATGTGTCCCTTTAAATGTTATAGGAAAATCCCTACTAGTTACAGACAGTGAGAAGAACACTGGGAAAATCTCCAACACAGGCTCACTGGGAAAAGGCCATTTCTAAAATGTGTATCACGTTGCTTTTTTTGCACTTTTCACGACACTTTTAAAGTGAAATGTAAAAGTGAGTCAGTTATACCTGAAACAAACGACTGTGAATCTGGTTGTTGCACGTATCGCGGCAGTTGGGAAATATAATATCGAGCGTTTCACATCACAAGCGCATTGCTGTATCAGGAGAGCTATCGGGAAAGTTTACTATTTTTGGAAATACATATGGAGCCGATTATGTGATGCAAATGTCAAAATGTATTAGTTTACAAAAGCTCCATGGTAAAAGTGTTTTGAGGTCATAGCAATCTTTTGCGCAAGGAACCATGTGAAAATAAGTCTTTAATAATCGATAATCTGCCCATTTAATCCTAATTTATGTGAAAGGGAATAAGTTCTTGCTCTTTTACTGCCACTAGTTTTCATTTCAGTACAAGTTTCAAACGGAGCACCACAGCTCAGTGTTGAGAAATATATATATTTTTTAAATAAATTTAAAAAAAAGCACAGCTGCACTACTTCCTGAACTTAAGCCAGCGCCTTGTTTCCTGTCTGCCATTATTGGACAAACTTGATTAATTCAGGTGTGCCTGATTATTGTTGTGACTATTGAGGTCAGACACACCTGGATTAATCAGTTTGTCCAATAATGGAGGACAGGAAACAAGGGGCTGGCTGAAAGTTCTGTTTGTACGAACCCTAAACTTTGCAATCTGATTTATATATTTGTGTTTACATGCATTACGAACAACTTCTGCATTGAGAATAATTACCATTATGAAGTCACCAGTATAATCGTTTTGTTTTTTTCCTCTTAATGACAGATCTCTTTCGTTTAAAACGCAGCGAGGACTCTTGACAACGCGTTCGTCTTTTCTCCCACGTATCGCCACCAATGTAACAATCTTAAAGCCTAAGCGAAGTAGACGAGAACCGACAAATGTTCAACGTAAACAGTAATGAACCGTTGTTTTGGAAATGTTTTTTCCCATTGAGCCTAGGTTGGAAATGTCACAAGCTGTATTTAAATTTGAGCACCACAGCTCAATGCTCCAACTCTAAGGAGCGTGTTTCCTCGCATCAGAACTGCTTGTAATTGTGTAGTTTAAACAGGATGAGTGTGAGGTCTCAGACCTGCTGGGATCAGGAGTGTTCCTCCGCGCTGCCGCTGA